CCCCCCCCCCGCTTTCCGGGCCCACGCACGTAAGTCACAGAGAAGGGACGAGACACTTACACGGTGTGTTTCTGCGGAGCTCGCCTGTAAGAAAGGAAAAATGGTCAGTGTCTGCGTTTTCTGCACCGTGTGCAAGTGTGGGAACCTGCCTGGACCTCCTGGACAGGGATGAGGCAGCCTTGTCAGAGCTTCCTTACCTGCTCAAGAGAAAAGACCGGGAATGAGGGTCCGTATGACCCCACTGTGGGGACACCTCAGTTCCGGCAAGGACAGCGAATGTATCAGAAATTCCTTCTCCAGGGAAGCGAGGTGGGACGCTCAACCAACTGAGCCACCCGGATGCCCCTGCCTTTTGTTTAATTCGCAGCCCCCAGGGACAGCAGTTAAGAGGGTAGAGAAACTTCAACACCGAGTTCCGTCGCTGTGACTCTACCGCTGGCTGGTGAATTTGTCCTGGGGACGGTGTGAGGGACGAGAAGGCGGCTCCGACGGTCGCATCTTGTCCGAACATTCAGATGTCCGGTGTGGACTAACCACGTCAGAGGCCCGCGGCCCACTCTGGGTGAGGTCCCCTGTCTACAGTCACCTGTGTTATCACCTGCCTGGGGTTACCCGTGAGGAACCAGTGTGAGGTCACCCGTGTGAGGTCACGCACAGGAGCCCTGGGGACCAGGATGCCAGCGGGCAGGGCGGAAGCTGCAGACTCTTGGCGGCCACGTCCAGAGTACGAACCGGAATCCAAGACCCAAACTTTGCGAGGACTTTCAGGACAGAAGGGACACCGCCTAACTTCCGTTTGGAAAGGTGCCGACAGGTGAGGGGTCCACACCCGGCTGGGCCTGGGGACCCCTCCACGCCTTTGAGGAGAGCGCCAGACCATGCCATAAAGGGCGCTGCGGGCTGTGGGACGGGGCCAGCGGCTGGCGCCGGCCTCGGGAACGTGGACACGTGGACACCCGGGGACAGATCACGGATGACAGATCACGCCTTGTGGCGGGACCCGTGGGCAGGAGAGGCACTCTTGTGGGGTGTGGGGGCCGTGCACGGATATTCCCAACATTCATTCATTCATTCATTCATTCAGTGTGGAGACGGAGAAGGACCTCACACTTGGGGACAGAGGCAGAGCTTGTGGGCACAGGCAGCAGTCTGTGCAAAGGTCCTGGGGTCTGGGGTGCTCAGGACCAAATCCTATGTTGTGCATGGAGATTACTTGAAAAAAAATTTTTATAAACAAATTTCTTAAGTATATCTGTTTTGAGAGAGAGACAGAGAAAAAGAGACAGCAGGGGAGGGGCAGAGACAGATGGAGAGAGAGCCCCCAGCAGGCTCCATGCTGTCAGTGCAGAGCCTGATGCAAGGCTCGGACTCACAGACTATGAGATCCTGACCTGAGCCGAACGCAAGAGCCGAGGCTTAACCCGCTGAGCCACCCAGGTGCCTCCATAGAGGTTCCTTTTTTTTTTTTTAAACCTTTTTTTTTTTCAACGTTTATTTATTTTGGGGACAGAGAGAGACAGAGCATGAACGGGGGAGGGGCAGAGAGAGAGGGAGACACAGAATCGGAAACAGGCTCCAGGCTCCGAGCCATCAGCCCAGAGCCTGACGCGGGGCTCGAACTCACGGACCGCGAGATCGTGACCTGGCTGAAGTCGGACGCTGAAACGACTGCGCCACCCAGGCGCCCCTACAGGTTCCTTTTTAAGACCAAAAATGAATCCGCGCAGTTTACGCCCCAGGGGCAACGGGACAGCACGCGCTGTGTGGGTCGTTCACGGATGCGTGGGTTCTTACCGGCGTTTGGATGTCCAGCTCGTAATACAGCATGTGACTTGAAAGGTCGAATCGGATCTTGGGATGTTCCCACCAGATGATGTGGTGCGACCGGTTGTAGGTGATGGTGATGTTCCTGGGTGGATCGTACTTCTCTACGGCAGCGAAACACGACAAAGTGTTTCGTGTTTAGCCCATTTGTTGTCTTTTGTTTTAAGTTTATTTATTTTGAGACAGAGGCAGACAGCAAGTGTGGGGGGTGGGGGTGCAGAGATTGATGGAGACAGAATCCCAAGCAGGCTCTGCACTGTCAGCACAGAGCC